GGGGCTTCTGTTGTCCTAATATAGTTTACTAGTACACTCAGTGGACTTGCACACAGACAGAACACACATCCCCGCCCCAAAACACACACCCATTCCTTGCTTCTTTTCATGATTACGGTCCAATCTGTTGTTTGTTCACCTGAGCAGGTGAGGAGAAGCTGGTTCTTCCAGAGATGCTTCTACAGCTCAGGCTCAAGGCTGTTCTCATCTTCATTGTCACAATTGTCTGTTGGTCACTGCTTGGCTGGTGTGGTGGGATGTCGACTACCAGCTCATAAGGGAGGAGCGTCCCAGGGTCATGAAGTACACTTGACTGGCACCTCCAGGACGCACAGATGCAAAGAAGACCTGACAGACAAGGAATGGCAATGGAAGGCAAAATATATGAACGGAACAGCATTTGGTGACATTTCTGATCCAGTGGGTGGTATCTGAAAAGGCAGTGTTGTGTAGAATTTTGTCAGTCCATGTATAACCAACAAGGAGCTCGGTAGCTGTTGAACCAAGCAGATACTCATGGTTTTAATATTCAGTAATTCAGATAGAAACTTCTTCAGGCGCCGTCTTAAGGACTCAAACATAGAAACTGTCAGGTTCTGCTAAATGGTACTCAGCTTGATATGTTGTGTATCTTTGTAATTATACATACATACATGTTTTTATTCAAATGGATGTATGTACCCTTATGTTTCATGCTTTTTTGTGTAAAATAATTGCAATAATTGCAAAAATACAGAGAGATCAAATGAAGAAATACAAACTGTAAGAAAGAAAAAGAAAAAAGCCACAGTAAAAAAAAAGAAAAAACTAAATGACACCAAAAGCAAAGCATATTCTCACCTTGTCATTCCTCTCACAAAGGAACTTGAGTCTCTGGGCTCTCTTGTGCATGAAGACGCCATCCAGGTGTCCTGTCTCAACAGAGCGGATCTCTATGGCCTTCTCACCCCAGCCCATGATCTGGTTTGACCTAATGTAGGCTGCACAGACACAGAGGGAGACGACAGACTGTATGACTGGAGCATATGGGTTCATTAAACATTACAGTATAACAGTAACTGTTTGCTGGAAGGAGCTTTTTTTAATGGCCTCACTTACCCACTGAAGTCGGCATCTCTCCCCACTGCAGCACCACGTCCTTGGTAATACGTCCGTAGGTGTTGACGTAGACGCCCTCATCCTCGTAACACACCAGCAACTCGATCCCGTCGGTGTTGGGCAAGATGATGATGGCGTGGCACTGAATGCTGGTCTGGATCTGAGGGAAGGAGCAGGAAGCATTAAGAGGGGTAAAGGGCATAAAAACCGGGGTGTGATCAAACATTGCAGAGCACCTACATGTGTGGGCAGGTAGATGTCATAGACAGCACCGGAGTCCACATCCACGGCATGAAAGCCTGAGCAGGAGCCATAGATGACTTTTAACCGTTGGCCTTCCTCCACCGTCAGGTCAACCAACAGAGGCTTGTGCACCAGGTCACCAAAAGACTAAAACCCACCATAACAAATTAGTCACTAGTGTAAACTAGAAAAGACTTAACATCTAAAAATATTCATCTTTAATCCAACCTCCTGCAAGTACATTTACACCTGGTAGTGAGCCAGATACATCTTGGAACCAGGCTCACCTTAAAGGCCATGAATTTGTGGTAGGGTTTGGGTGCCCAGGCATACACCTCCACCGAGTTCTTCAAGGCCAGCACCAAAAACTTAATCCTCTCATACTTCACTGGGAAGAGAGGGAAAGGTGAGTCACTCCTGAGTGACAGTGTTGCTTAAAATAGGGCTATTTAACAAATCTAGACCAGGTTTATCCTTCTCTCTGTGTGCATCTCTCATTTGAGGTTCAGGAATCTTTGACAGAAAGTGAAACGACGTACCGACTTTGTAGTGGACGCAGCCTTCCAGGTCGCCCACATTGACCCAGCCCTGCTTCTTCTCCACCTCAGGGTCATTGTGCAAAATCTTATTTCTGAGCCATGACAGGTAATACACCCGCAGCTTGTTCTTTTTACCTGCAGGAGGTGGAGTTCGATTTAGAGACCGTAGTGAGATAAAGAACAGACAAACACTTTTCAGCATCTTTTAGCACAAATGTGCTCTGCATTTAAACTGAAAAAATGGGGAAAGTTTAAACACCTCAGCATCTGTTTTTTGTCTGAAAGGCTGCGGTAGCAAAGTTCTCCCAAATAATGTTTTGTTAAAGGAATGTTTCTTCAAAGATGACTGAAAATTAATTTAAAAAACACAACACTTATGTTCAGTAGCTACAGGCAGCACATGTACTGTACCTGATATAGTGACCAGGACATTGAGTCCCTCCAGGACATCCATTTGTTGGATGCGTCGTCGATTGATCAGGGGGTAGACCTTCCCCTGACCACTTCGATCCAGCAGCATCAGACCGCTCTCTGTGCCGACCAGCAGGTTCACTCCTGGAATCGCCGTGGACGTACATGCAATCATAAATGTAACACCCACAGTGAAAGTATTGGGTTGAACGAGTAAGCCACGTCACCAAGGTGTTTCTGAACAAGCCCTGCCAGTGGCTGCATGCGGCAGACTACCATCTCATCATTTGTGAGATACACTTACCCCAGAGCGCAGCACACAGGATCTCAGAGTTGAACCTCTTCTTGTACTTGCGAATCTCTGGTGTGTCACTCGGCGGGCGCGTGTTGACCGGGTTGACGTTGACCACTGAGCCTTTACGGGATGGGTCAGACTTCAGCGGGTCCGCCACCCGACCGTCCTGTGCAAATCCAGCTGGGAGGAAGAACAGAGTGGTGCAGTGGTGCAGAGGTCAGGCTGTCTGCCACCGTGTAATTAAATCAATAATAAGGAATCCCCCTGCTTAATTTGAACACAACATTGTAATGTACAGTGCAACTTGACTCATCACCTCAGATGTTTCAACAGTTGCTTTTACAGTGTTAGAAAAAATTATTTAAAATGTGTGGTGGAGAAGCTGTTGCTCATAAAATCTCTCCAAAAAAAAATCCTCTGTCATCAGGAAACTGAAGTGGCTTCACAGTTTTTACTTACATTCACTCAGTGGACTTACCCATGTTGTTGAGGGAGCTGCCGCTGGATGGAGAGATCTGGAGAAGGCGAGGGTCGATGAAGGGAGTGAAGGAAGAGGAAGACTTGTGTTTGGACATGGAGTTGCTCTCTGACTGGGACTGAGAGAGATTGAAGACACTTAGAAAACAGATTTGAGTATTCCTAAACCAGTATGTTCAAAATGGAGCAAGGAGAAAACACAGCTATGAAACAGAATCAGAGATTAGGTCTTAGGTTCTGGACAAAGACTATGATGCAGATTTATAATGGTAAAGAGCCCCCTCAGCTTTGAGCATGTGAGATACAGTTCTAGGTCAGGGGGCTCATAAAACAATCCATTTTATGACACAAACAACTGGGAAAGTTGGCAGTAAAAATTCAAATTTATAACAAATGAAAAAGATAACGTGCAATTAGGTTAGATGTTCTGAAGTGAGGAAAAACACCGTGAGCAACAAGAAGAGGTGTGTTCTGGAAATGATCTCAACACAAACTGCTGTGAAGTGTTAGAGGAAAAAGATGCTCCTACTAAAGCACAGACAGAAGAGGAGTGTAATCCCACCACCCAAGATGCTGCTGTTTATAACCCCGTTATGTCACACTAGAGAAGAGGTGGTAATCTATTACAGTCAACATTAAGAATACATGTGATTTCTTTTCTGTAAGTAGGTTACACATGTGGAAATATAAACATCACTCCTACAAGCTGGCACTGCATCACACAGGCATGCCATCACCCAAAACTATTAAGACCACATATAGTTCAGCTAAGAAATGCTTTTTTGTAGTTCACCCCAAGAAGCTCCATTTTTAGTTTCCTCCTTGCCATGAGCATGTTCTAGCACCAGGAGGCACCAGTGTTAGCAGCGACACAGTGAAACACAGTGAAGTGCAGAAGACTCAGTTGCCAAGCCAGAAGGGGGCAGAGTGAAGCCAGGAGGACTCAGAGGGGGGGGACGCAGAGGCTCAGACCAACAATCAAGGACTGGACTGGTTGGTAAGAGCAGATTTGGAGATGAGGTGTGTTTGCTACACAGGACAATATTACTCAAACCTGTTTAAATTAGCTAGACAAAAAGCATTTGCAAATAGTTTATTTTACCTCGTTTCACAGCCAAGGGGAGAATGGAGATAAAAAGAAGAGATCCAATAACAGTCAACTAAAACACTTAAGAGACTAGAGTGGGCAGCTTAGTCTTTAAGCAGTAAATCTTACACCCTCTTGAATTCAAACTGGATAAAACAAACATGTGCAACTGCTGTTTGTCTAAGTCTGCATTCTCTGCGACCGTCCATTCCTTGATTGTTTGTCTCAGTGATGTGAGGGTGACATACCTCTACGGCAGTGAGTTTGTCCATGGAATTCTGTGGGGACATGGCAGGACTGGCATGGCTAGATGAAGAGAGGAAGGAGGAGGAAGAAGAAGAGGAGGAGGAAGAGGAAGGGATGGTTGCAGAAGAGGAAGGGGAGTGGTGGCTCTGCTGGATAAGGTCTGGGAGGTGGTGTATGCGGGCGGCAAAGCCGTTTTTCTCTGGCAGGCCATAGCTCAGGGCTTGGGGCTGGCCACGGCTGTGACCAGAGCCAGCCGAGGAAGAGGAGGAGAGATTGACCAACCGCTTTATGTCATCGGTGCTCTGGAAGCAAGAACAGGCACACTTGGGCTCGAGCAATAGGTGGAGCGAAGGAGAAGCTGTGTGTTTGCCTGCTAATCTGCTGCTTCATATCATGATTTATTTACTCCCACCCCACAACAAGTGCCTCTCATCGAAATAAATTCACCTTTGGAGGCCACCACTGCTGTGCATTGTGCTTTAAATGTAATCTATAATAATCGGATTCATTGCCTCACCCATCTGTAAGTGTAAAACATAAAGCAAAAAGTTTATGACTAAAGATTATAAACCAAGACACATGGGGATATACTGAAACTTGGATGAAGTGGTAGATAAACAACAGTGAAACTGGACAGAGAAAAAGGGGCATATATACCAAATACATATACAAGTAGAATGTGCCTTCAATTCAACAAGAACTCATCTTGATGTTTCAGTCTCAATGAGTCGGATTCCTGTCTCCTCTTCTTACCTGTCTGATGACCAGCGTGCCATCCTTGGAGGGCGTAGTGGCTTGGTCACTCTCTGAGTCTTCCACCAGCACTGTCTTAGCAGACTCAGTCTCCCCGTTACTCAGCCTCCTGCAGAAGCCATATATCCGATGACCAGTGTTAACAGTCATGCAGAAAATCTAGGCAACACTTTGATAGGTGTGACAACGCACGTCCTCTTGGGTCAGTATGTTTCATATTATCTAACAAGGAATTATCTTGGCATGCTTTATACTTAAATGTGAAATGAATGAGAAGCATCTGATTCATTTCTTACAAGCAAAGAAGAATCCAACAGACAGTGAGGACACTTCTACCTACCCAGCTTTGGTGTCCTCAGTTCCAGAGGTGGACTCCTCTCCTGCCTCCTGATCCACCTCCTCATCGTCATCCTCATCGGTGGTGCCCGACTCCTCGCTTGAGGATGAGTAGTCAGTGATTTTGTGAGGAGGCCGCACATCGTCGACTGCACGGAGCTCCTTTGCCAGAGCAGTCAGGTCCTGGGAGGAACAGTGATCAAGTCTTAAAAGATGAAAGCTATTTTGGCAAAACACCGGTTGTCTATAATATTCCCTTAAAAGTTTCAACATTTGGTAAAATTAACTCGCCATCAAAGTAAGAAACTACTAATCTTCTAATTCAGTGCCACATTTTAATAGTCAAAAAACATGCTTGAGACAGCCTGCCTTAAAGTCATCCCTCCTCACTGTACATACATTTTCCAGGTCCCTCTCTTTTTTATTCAACATCTTTATACCTACAGCCTACTTGACTCTGCACGTTAGATATGGATTTTAGATGGTAAAATAGCAGCTTTAAACCTTGCTAACCCTGGGCTAAGATCCTACTTAGTATAAATTCTAGGATGGGGCGAGTTTTGAGAAACATTGATTGGTCAAGCAAGTAGTCCAGTGATAAATGCCTTATTTTCAGATTCCTAAATCTGTTACATCATGCTGCTATCTGCTAGTTTTCCCTTACACATCCTCAATAATGTTGTTGTGTAAGGTTGGTGACAAGCAAGGAAAGGAGGAAAATAAGCCACAGTTTTTCCAACAACAAAGCCGGATGAGATTAGGAGCCATTCTGACAAGTACAAGGGAACAGAAGGAGTGTGCCTGCATTCAAATGTGGTCACATTCAAATCCAGGCTCAGGAAAGCAGCTTCAGAAGGTTAATAACCCTTCTAGTGCTATGTGCATTTTGTTGATGACAAGCAAGTAACGCAGACAAAGCTGTGCAAGCATAAGGAAAAGATGCCAGAAAAAGGCTATCATGTCACAGGCAGGAAGAGCAGTAACCAGTGGCAGACCTAATAGGAATTACTGTGTTACTCCTCACAAAGGAATAACAGTTATATTACCACAAACCTTTATCCTATAATGCAATGAGTGGGGCAGTGGTGCAAGCATAGCATAGGTGTGATTCAATAGGCTTACCACATCACCCTAAGAGGTCCCCCACCATTCACGAACCATTGGATTCATGAGGAGTTGCACACACCAGATGGTTGATTAATTAGAGTAGTAGAAAACAGAGACAAGTGGAAAGAACACAGTTTTCACCTATTCGGCATCAAACAAGTTTAAGCAGCTCTTTGGTAACAGTGGACTTACAGCTGGTCGAGCAGGCCTGGCAACGTTCTTTTCATCTTGTTTTTTGGGAACATTTTCAGGTCGCTGGAGAGGCGATCCTTCAGATTTGGAGGAAGCTGTGAGAGAACAAAAGGAAGTAGTGTTAGTGAGGGGAAACAAAACAGGGCCAGGAGAGTGGGGCTCTGAAAAGATCTTCAACTACCTGAATGAAAACTTACTTGAGCGCGAGCAGATAAGCACAGGAGAATGGCAACAGTGTTAGCGTAGCAATAATCATAATGTACTAATGGGTGGTTAGCAGAGTTAGTGAAATGCAGCTGAGGACAGTACCAGGGGACTCACAGCGTGGCCTGAAGCGGTCTCCAGAACTGGCCTGGGAGCTGGAGTTAGAGGAGCCAGAGGAGCTGCAGCTGCC